AGCAAGCTGTCAAGACAGGAGCCTATGGGAGGGCACTTCCTATTCAAGCCACATTTCACAGAGAGAACTCCGCCTCCTGACAGCCAGGGCTGGAAGGCAATCAAAGCAGGTCAGAGATGGGAAGATGTTTTGTGAATTATAAACCAACACACAAATGATTATTAGTTATTATTACTTTTTCATATTTGTTTCCTCTACTGAAGAACGCACTGCATGATGGGAGGCTGGAGGGGTGGTTCAGTGGCCAAAAGCTCTTGCTGCTCTTCCAAAGGACCAGAGTGGGGTCTCCAGCACCCACATTAAGGGACCTCCAGCCACCTGTAACTCTAGCTCCAGAGGATCCAATGCCTTGTTCTGGCTTCTGTGGGCATTGCATTCATGCCCACACCACCAACCCCCCAACACACAAATAAATACAAATAACAAAAATAAATCTTTAAAAATTACTATTCACAAAGCCTAAGTTGGCTGCTAAATTTCTTTTGCTCTAATACCTAGAGTGAATAGTTGATGAGCATGTTTATAAGATCAAATCAATAGGATGTTAAGCAATAAATTTATTTGACAAAGGTAAATATCACAATGGAGAGGTCCAGGTCTTTAGCATTCTTCACCAAAGCAATAAATAAACAGAATTCTCCCAGAGCAAAGATGGAAATACAATTATTCAGTCTCTCCATGTTAAATTTTCCTCAGAAATTGAAATATTGTTAGCAAACACAGATTTAAATTTTGTGCTCCAATGAAGTGGGAGATCTTGTTTATCGTTTTGATTTCTCTGCATTCTACCACAGGGAAATTATGTAGACTCTCACAGTACATGAAAGCAATACTGATAATTATGGAATTTGCTGCTTAGCTTGAAAATAATTTTATGAATCTCTTCTGATCTATTGGTTTGGTGATTGTTTCTGTGTCAGGAATCTATGTAGTACAGCTGGACTGGAGCTGGACTCAAACTCATGACCCTTCTGTTTCAGCTCCCTGAGGACTGAGTTTACAGAGGTATATGATACAATCCTGTGTGTGGCTGGCTATTCCTAAAGTCTGTGATCCAAAGCATGTTAAGTGTATTTGAAACTGTGCAACAAGTCCCAAGCCAAAATCTTTTGAAATACTTTTTAAAATATTTTTTAGTGCAGATAGTGTTTACCGAAGGGGCTCATTTCTTAAGGTATTTAGATCAAGCTGGGATGAGCTAGCTCAGTCTATAAAGTGCTTGTTATAGAGGCATGAGGACCTGAATTTGATCTCCAGGACTATCATGTGACATTTTTCCTGGGAAGACACAACACACACATGTATACTCATCCCAGATGGGGAACCCAGGACAGACCAGGATAACAGTTAGGTCAAAATTCAATTTGGTGAGCCAGGAACTATTGGGGTTACTAGCCAAAATAGAAGTAAGGGCTGTTTATGGGCGTAAGGATGACTCGTGTCATGCTCCAGCACTGGTTACAACTCACAAAAGCTGCAACCCGGATCTTCTGCGTCACTTACAGGTGGGACAGTCTCTTCTAGGAAGCTCGGCTGGTGATTCTCCTTCCTTCCCAGTTATTGACTGCTTCTCTAACCTTAGGGATGGCCCTGGTGAATCTTGCGAGTTTTAGCTTTCCCAGACTTGGGAAGTTTGCTCAATTCCGGAGTCTCCTGAGCCTCTGCCCACCTTCCTGGAGAGAATGTTCCAGTTCTGAGAAAACTGACATACTTGTAATCCCAGCACTAGGGAGGCAGAGGCAAGCAAATATTTGGGACTGGCTGGTCTGTAATCCTAGCCAGACCAGCTAGTTCCAGGCCACCTTTACTTAAAAAAAAAAAAAAAAAAAAAAAAAAAAAAAAAAAAAAGATGGTGGATGCTTCTGAAGAATAGTACCCAAAGTTGACCTCTGGTTTACATATGTATACATGTGCCCATGACTCCACACACAGGCACATTGGCACACACATGTGCACACACACACTAAATTAAAAAAAAGAGATCTTACATCTGTAGCCTGAGGGTAATTTTATACAGTTTTTTTTAAATAACTTTGCACATGAAACCAAGTTTGTACATAATGAACCGTCAGACTGGCAACACTGTGTTTGTGGGAAAGTGTGTGATTTTCTGTAGGGAGCAAGTGAATTCCTGAGGGAATGTATATTGTTTGGCATGGGCACAGCCATGTCAAGGACCAATGTCTCAGCCCTATGGGCATGGCCAAGCCTTCTCCAGGAGAAGCTTGAAGGGATGGCAAAGAATATGATTTACCCGGAATGAAACACAGAAGATGTGGCATGGGTGTCCTTTGGAAGAGGTTGGCGTAATAACAGATGTGAGAGCCAAAGACATTGCTCACTGCCTAGAGCCTCTATTCTCTATCGTGTGTGTGTGTGTGTGTGTGTGTGTGTGTGTGTGTGTGTGTGTCTGTGTGTCTGTGTCTGTGTCTGTGGTGTGTGTGTATGTGTGTGTGTATGTATGTGTGTGTATGTGTGTGGTGTGTGAGTGTGTTCATGCATGTGTTTGTGTGTATTAATGCAGGTGCATGTGTGCCTTGGCACGTGTGCCTTGGCACTGCCTTATTAGAGGCAAGCTGTCTTGTTGTTCATGGCTGTGTACACCAGGCTAGCCAGCCATGGGCTTCTGGGGATTCTCCTGTCTCTACCTCCCAAATCACCATACCCACTCTAGGATTACAGATGTGCATTACATTTTCCAGTTTTAAATGGGTGTGCCGGGGATTTGAACCCAGATCTGCATGCTGGACTTTGAGCAAGCCCTTTATTCACTGGGCCATCTCCCCACGGCCAGCATCTATGTTTTGATGTTCAACTTGTTGCTGTCTCTATTCAATGTCAACTGTTCCACAGCACACTTGTGTAAAGTATTCTGTGTTGATGGGAAGAATGAAGACCATATTTTCAAGTCAGCTGCAGACATGAGCAACGGAGATAAAACAGAAGGTGAAAATAGGTGTTAGATAAACTCAAGGATGAAATAACAAATCTGATCATTGCCCAGAACCAAATACTCTGTAAGAATCCCAGGGGAAGAAATTCCGAAATCGCTCAATGAATGTTCCAGCAAGAACTTACTTTACTTGCTTCAATCCCATATTTAAAGCATCATTAGGGGCTGCAAGGGATCACTTAGATTTTTCACTTAGGCATAACTGAATGTTATGAATAAAAATGACATGTTTTAATGGTGTTTGCAGGCTTGAGTACTCGCAAAGGTCTGAAGACATGTCCTTCCGTAATGGCAAAGGTCTGTGACTCAATGTCACTTAATTGTCACAGTGGCCCTGTAAAGTAAGAGTAGTGATTCTCATATTAAAGATGAGGCAAGAGATGAGCATTTGAGTAATTGGTCAAGGAAACAATCCAAGGAAAGGAATACCCATGATTTTCCTTGTCCCAACCTCAGTGTCTGGCACATAGCAGACATTTGACACGTCAGTTCATGTGGTCTCCAGTGTGTGTGGTTCCCAGACCTCAATATGGACGTCACCTGGGGACTTGCTGTCAACACAAAATCTCAATCCCCCAGTCCTCCTGACTCTGGATATAAGATTCAATAAGATCTGTTGCAATGAATCTTCCAGAAGTTTCTGAGCAAGCTCTAGTGGGCTTCAGTTATCAACTTGACCCAGACTAGAGTCATCTGAAGAGGTCTCAGCTGAGGAGTTTCCAAGACCATCTTTGCCTATAGCCATGTCAGTGAGAGACTATCTTGAAAGATGATTGCTGTGGGAAGGCCAAGCTCACTGTATTCAGTACCACCTCTGGCAGGTGGCCCTGGACTATAAAAGAAAACCCTGGTAGAAAGATGTTTAAAACCTTTACGCCAACTAGATTCTTTCTCATAAAAAAATTACAACATTTTTTTCTCTGTGTGTGTATGTGTCCCTGCATTCATGCCAAAGTATGCATGGGGAGGTCACAAGACAACTTCCAGGAGTCAGCTTTTCTTCTTCCACCATGTGAGTCCTGGGGATCAAACTCGGGTCATCGGGCTTGCAGCAAACATGTATACCCACTGAGCCATCTCATTGGCCATAACTGACTTCTTTCATATTAATCTTCATGCCTCTCTGTAGAATATTATTTTAAGATGTGCTGCATTTGTTTATACTGTAGAACATTTATTTAATGATGCAAAGCTGTGCTGCATTCTTTATGTTGCATTTAACTCTGTGAATCTCTGTTAGTGCACCTGTCTAAAACACCTGATGGTCTACTAAAGAGCTGAACAGCCAATAATGAGGCAGGAGAAAGGATAGGTAGGGCTAGCAGGCAGAAAGAATAAATAGAAGGAGAAATCTGGAAGGAAAAGAAGAAAGAGCAAGAGAACAAAGAGAGGAGGATGCTAAGAGCCAGCTACCCAGCTACATAGCCAGCCACTGAGGAAGAGTAAAAGTAAGATTTACAGAAGTAAGAAAGGGAAAAAGCCCAGAGGCAAATGGTAGATGTGATAATTTAAAGTGAAGGAAAGCTGGCAAGAAACAAGCCAAGCTAAGGCCAGGCATTTATAACTAAGAATAAGCCTTTGTGTGTGGTTTATTTGGAGCCCCCCCAAAAAAGTAAAAAACAATCAACAACATCTTGATCTTCTTGTTCTACTGGATGCCATGACATAAACAACTTTACTCTATCATAACCATTCTGCCATGATGCTCAACCTTCCTATGCACCCACAGCAAAGAGACGAAGTGACCACGGACCGAAGCTGTGAAATCTTTTCCTTTTTGAAGTTGCTTTACTCAGATGTTTTGCATAGTAACAGAACAATTGACAAAACACCTTCAAATATCTTAATTCTTGAGCAAGTGTGTGGATGCATGTGTGTGTGTGTGTGTGTATGCGCATTCATGTACGTGTACAATCATGTGTGCACCCAGGTAAACAGGCAGTTGTGTGCAGTTGCATGTAGAAGTTAGAATTCAACCTTTCCTATTGTTTCTTGGATGCCATCCACCTTATTTTGTGAGACAAGTTCTCTCATTGGCCTGGAGCTCACCAAGTAGACTAGGCTGGTGAGGGAACGCCAGATAGCCTCCTGTCTTCACCTCCACAGCACTGAAATTATAAGCGTGTGCTAGCATAGTTCGCTTTTTTTTTTCTTCTTTTTGAGGGAACACTATATCTCATCTTCTTGGTCTCGGGTGCTCTACACAGTCAAAGAAACTTCTCTAGTAATGAACTATAGAAATGATCCTAGAAATATAGTCTTTTATTTTCTTACCTTTATTACACCAGTTCATTCATTGTGTGTATACTTTCATATGTGCATGTGCTCACATGAGCATGTGGAGGGCAGAGGATAACTTTAGGGAGTCAGTTCTCTCCTTCCACTGTGTAGAACCTAGGGTAGACTTCAGGTCATCAGATCAGGCAAAAGGCATCTTTATCTGCTGAGCCACCTCACTGTCCCCTTGTGTTTTGTTTTTTCTTTGCTTGTCTGTCTGTTTGTTTGTTTTTGGAGTGCATGCTAGGCAGTCCATCCCTCTGCCTCTACGCTACATCTCCAGCCACGCTTTCTTTGTTGGTGGTTTTGTTCATTAACATGGGTTCTTAGGGATTGAACTGAGGTCCTCACATGCACAAGGCGAGTGCTTGGCTGATTGAGCCATTCTCCCCAGCCACTCACATCCTAATTCTTCAAGAACCCATGTGCCCTCCAAGCAGCCTCTGCCAGAACTCATACAGAGCTGGTCGCCCACACTAGGCCTCTCCTTTGCCAGTGCATGGGATTCCAACCCTTCCCAGCAAATAGATGATCAGCTTCATTTCTCTGTTCCTTCCTTCCTCCCGTACTCTCTACCACGAGGGGCCACCTGAGAAAAGAAAATTTCATCTTCCACAAAGCCAGATTTATTCTTTGTTCGTTGCACAATGCGGCGAAAGCCCAGATGAATTTTTCCACACTGGCTGGCACTTAGAAGCTTTTCATCCAGAGGAGAATGAAGGGGAGAACAATTTTCCTCATGTCTGTTTACTGTGGCCGTGGCACCGAGAGAAAACAATTGAAACGTATAAACGACTGAAGGTGTTTTTTTGATGTAAAACAGGCAACAGATTTTTGCCCCATTATCCAGAATCACAGCTTGTCTGAGATGAAAGGGGCTACAGGATCATCCACCAGGTCCTCACTAGATATGTTACAACAGTATCAGAGATCATTTATTTAAAAAAAAAAGGTATGTGGGAGCCTGGGGAGATGATTCTGGAAGAAAGACACTTTCTGCACAACCTTGAGGATCTGAATTCAGATCCCCGGTGCCTACTTAAAAGCCGGCTGGGGTGGCACGGACTCACAATCCCAACACTGTAGAGGTGGTCGCGATGGGAGAATGGCTGGGGCTCACTGGCCAGCCAGACTAGGCAAGTCAATGTGTTCTCCATTCATCCAACCTGACTGTAGTTGACAGGCCACAGAGCTAGAGAGGATCGGTCTCCGATAGTACCACAGGGCAAATGATGAAATGGCTGCTGCGGGGTAGAGGTGGGCCCCAGTATGAGGAGATGCCATTCTGGTCTAACCTGCCTCAATGAGTGCAGAGCTGGACAATAAGGAGGAGAGTCCTGTCGTAGAGGCTTCGAGGGGTTTCACCAGAAGCAACACCCCTGTAATCCCAATACATGGGAAGGAGAAGCAGGAGGATCAGACATCTAAGGTCGTCTTTGGCTACATGATGAGTTTGAGGCCAACCTGAGTTATATGAGACCCTGTTAGGAAAGAGAGAGGGGGTTGGATGTATGAAGAAAGTATAAGGAGTGTATCCAAACGGGACCAATAGAGAAAAGAGGAGGACCCAGGGAACCTATAAAACACCCAAGCCAGCATCCCTCTGGCGGACTGCCAGCCTAAGGGCCCCTCCCATCCCCCAAAGTTTAGAGCTGTGACTTTTCTCTTTCTCTGTGGCTTGGTCTTCTGTCTTTTCTGGTCATTCACTTCTTTGTACCAGGGAATGACTTCGGCAGGGCCCCCAGAGGTCTACCATCAACGCTGTTAGTTTCACACCACCATAGAGAAAGCTGCTTCGGACACCATGCTTCTCCACCATGGCGGACGGAAATCCCTCTAAAACCATAAACCAAAGCAGACCTTCTCTCCTTAAGATGTTCCCATCAGACATTTTGTCATAGTGACGAGTGACCATAATTAATGTACCCTGTGCCTGCACAGGAGAGTATTTAAGCCACAGTACTCAGGGTGCTTTTGTTTAGCATTACAGATTTCCAATTCCTTCTAGACATCCCACTGCAAAGATCCTATTTCTCTTTGTGTTTTCAGAGCCAGGAAATCCTTCATCAAATTCAATAAATCCTCCTCTCTCCTTTCTAAGCCCTCGTCTTGTCTGTTTTCTGTGAGGGAGAACAGCTGGTTATTCTTAGGAAAAAAAAAAAAAACCAAACACCTTGAAATCTGCCCACTCTAGCACAATGTAGGAGTTCAGATAGTTCAGCATCAGGCTGTCTGATGCATTCGTTATGTTCCATTATATTCTCCCACATCAGTGCTGATGGGTGGTGCAAAGTCAAGCTGGCTTCAGCTAAGCGTTATGGGGCGGGGGGGGGGGGGGGGGGGGGGGGGGGTAGGGGGAAAGAGGTGAGCAAGCTAAGGTATCCCCAGAGGCTCATCACCTCACGCATGCTCATCACCACTCCTCAGCCTCACCCTAGCACTTCGTGTCCACCCACGCATTGCCACACACACACATACACACACACACACACACACACACACACACACACACACACACACACACACCACTTTGCATTTGCCCTTTCCCCCACTTTCTCAGCTATCTTCCCGCCCACCCTACCCTACCCTTGATTCCTTTATGGCCTCTTGGGTGAACTAAAATGCTCTTACTCTCTTTGTCCGAAACTAAAGCCTCCCTAATACAATGCATTTCTTTTTTTTTAATGTTCTATTACATTTGTTTGTTTGTTTGTTTGTTTGTTTGTTTGTTTACTTAGCATGTGTGAGAGCATGGACACGCCCACGTGAAGATCAGAGACAATTAGCAAAGAGTCAGATCTCTCCTTCCACCGTGTGGGTCTTGGCAGCAAGAACCTTCACCTGCTGAGCCACCTGGCCAGCCCGATTTGCATCTCCTCACTCCCCCTGGGTTCCGATTTGAGTCTGAAATGCTCTCCACAGTCCTGTGTGTTAATGCTTGCTTGCTCCCAGTTGGTGGTGCTATTTGGGGAGATTGTGGAACCTTTAGGAAACGGGCGGGGGGGGGGGGGGGGTGTCACAGGTGAAAATAGGTCTTTCAAGAAGGATTCCTAAAAGATGATATCTGGTCCCCAGTGCCAGCCAAGCTTTTATTGGTTTCCTGATCCCACAGCGATGTGACAACTGTACACACACACACACACACACACACACACACACACACACACACACACCCTGGGTTTTGTTGCTTTGTATTATTTTTAAAATGCTTGTTTGCTTTTGAAGTAAGGTCTCGCCGTGTAGCCCAGGCTGGCTTTGAACTTGCCTCTATTTTGTAGCAGTGATCATCCTGGCCTGGTAGCCTAGGTCACTAATTAAACAGAACAACAATGATAGTTAAGTCTATGGGAATGGTAACTAGCTGTTGATACCCCCTGGAAGAAGGAAGAAGGGGAGGGTCACAGGACCCTCATCTGGGATTCCAGCCTTTACTCCCTCTTCCCCTCCCCCAGCTGCAAGGGATCTTGGGGGACACTCAACAGGAAGCAAAAGGTTATCTGAACTGGTCCTACGTGATGCAGCTTCCATGAGGTCCCACCCCATCACCATAATCGGACGAGACTTTGCAGTCGTGATGCAGCTGTTTGGGGGTCAGCCCCACTCTGTGAGCAACACCTCCCCCATGCTCTTGGAAGTAAGTCCAATAAGTTCAGCGGTTCACCAAGTTGAACTTTAGTGGAGTCATCCTTTGGTCTGTTCCTGGTGCCCCATCTGGGGTGGATGTATTTGTTCACATCTCCCCAGAAACAGTTAGCATAATACTCTGCCTTCTGCATGCCCCCGTTCCCAGGCTCCCCACACACTTCAGCCTCCTACTCCACCATGCCTTCCTGCTATAACTTGCCTGGCAGAAATGAAGACATTCTAAAAAGACACCGTGCCCTCAATCTGACCATCAGATTCTTGAAACCATGAAAAAAGCGGGGCGGGGGATGATTTCCCCAAGAATATTATGTTTGGGAAAGGAAAAGTTGCCAGCTAGAGGATGAACTTATCTCTGGGGAAAGATTTTACAACTTTTCAGACCATCCTATAGAATGGAACTAAAGCCCAGATGGTGATGTGTCCGTGGTGGGCAGACCTACACCTTGACCAGGACTGCTCAGATGTGCACATCCTGAGCTCTCTGTTTCGACTTCAGTCTCACTATATGACCCTGAAGATGGACTTAAAGGGTGTCCCTGGATCTCTCTGTCCATCTTTCCACTGTGGCCACATGGAATAAGAGCTCCTTGTTCTGTCTTTTATTATTAATTCTGCTGTTTTAATTGGCTTCTCAAGAATGAATGGCTGAATGAGACTTCTTGGGGTACAGGCTGTGAGCCCCAACTTTAATAACCCTGCCACTGTGAACTGATACCCTCCAAAACCATGAGCCAAAATAGGCCTTCCCTCCCTTGAGTTGTTGAGTTGTTTATATCCAATGTGTTGGTCATAAAGATGCAAAAGTGACTGACAGATGGAGCCAAAGGTCAGCACAGCTCTGCATAGCAGTCATTGTCTCCTGATTGCGATGTCTCTCTATGGTTTAAGTCAAGATAATGCACAACCTACCTCACTCATGTCCACTAGCAACACCCTTGCTCCTCAATAACAAATCTCCACTGCCATCAGGGAGAGCAACAGCTTATTCTTCATTTCTGTAGAACTGGCACCAATCCAAGACAAAGACCAAATAACCAATGCCCTGCTGGAGTGCTTTTTATAGCTCTGGTCACAAGTTTCTCCCCTCCTTTCACCATTGGTGGGTACTTCAGATATATAATGTAACCACACCCCAAATTCCCATCTTGCTGGCACTAGAGATTTTCTCCTTCAGCCTTACATGTGGGCACAGTTGCATAACAAACCTAAGATAAACTAAAAGTGCCTAGGCAAGCGAGTGCCAGTAGCCAGGGAAGACGGGGGTTGAATGCCCCTTGCTTATTTGTGATCTGGCCAGTTTAAGTATGTTAGTGTCATCCTTGATATTGGCAATGGGCCAC